TGTCTGGTTTTGGCACCTCGCCTGACCTATTTCAGTTAGGGGTCCCTCAGCTTCCTTGTATCTATTTCCTGGGCTTGCCACCCAGGTAGATTGCGAAACTATAGAGAAGGGGTTTCACTGTCTGTCTCTCCCCCTGTGACAGTGGGTGACCATGAAGAAATGAAGCCATTACTGCTGTCATGAACTTCCTTGAAAAGTCTTCAAAGTGACACTCTCTACACTCCTGATTTCTGATCGCTGTGACCTTTCCCACACAAACGGGGGCGGGGCTGGATTAATATCTAGACAATATCCTCAGTGACTTCTCCTTTATTTTCTGTGTCTGAATTAAAGGTCAAGATCACAATGTGATTCTACCATTGTCTTCTCAAGGTTCAAGTGTCCCACCTCTCCCGTCTAAGGCAGCCATCCCTCTGGCATGGTTTTCAGCAATATTATTTTATATAGTAATTTGGTGTTTGAATATCAACTCAGTGATATCCCTCAAAAATCAGAGGGCATTTGTTTGTAATAAGGAACCAGAAATTTAGAAAGTAGACAATCCATATGCCCTGAAAGTATAGTATTGTGCTACTTAAACTCAAGGGTAGTCAAAATGCCGGAATGCAATCTTGTCCATTTTGTGAGGCCGAATAAAAATCAATTTACCATTAGCATTCATTAGGAACATGAAGAGAGAATGCTTACGTGAGCTGATCCATTCACAGAGACGGCGTAAACCAGTTAAGTTGGTGGTTACAAGGAGGACTTGGATCATGAGGTGTACTCAATGACACACTACTTATCTAAAACGCACAGGGCTGTGTTCATTCCCAACAACATCTCCCCAACCCCCACAAAAAAACCCTAAATCTCACTGAACAATGGATTGTTACTTGTCTATAAATGTATGTTCACAAAACTGTACTATAAAAGCCATGCTCACTAGTTACATTCATTGTAATTATCTGAGCAGGTTTATGCACTCATCGGCATTTATTGTAGTGAGCTGACCATGTGCAGTGAAGTAGTTCACATGGGTGAAATGGGAACCTCCCCAAACCACTCAGCCTAACGACTGACTGAAGACACTTGAGACCAG